ATATGTCTTCGTTCATTTACGATCAAAATGGGGTTCCCAGGTCATTTGTCGAAACTTGTAATACTTTTTCCAACAAGCGAGTTCATATGGATTGCTCCGTCACACGTGCTCATAATTATGAAAACCTGGTCAATGGGAGACCTATAGCCTACACAAACCTTGCACTTGCATTTTATACCTACACCTAGTTTCTCAGCAGCCAGAACCATTGCTATTTATATTAAACTGTTTCATTAACAGCCATTAAATCGTTTTCGAAGGATAAAGAGCCATAGGCGCCACCCATCTTCTAGTCGAAAACCGCTTTTTAAAATGAAAACTACATAAATTTATTCTTTGCACAACTGGTTTTCGCATTGTTAAAGGTTTGACGATAAGTAATAGCAGATGGCTTTCGTTTGATATTATGGAGGTTTCAGTTTCACTTTGCACAACCATTAACCACGTATATTCGTGCGCCTGTTTTAGTTGCTGTCTTTTGGAAGTATGAATCAATTTGTAAATTGGCGATATTATTATAATATCATCTCATTTCGCTGAGGTGAACCGAGCCAATATACCCATCGGCATACGGTCAGAGCTTAATGCCTATATTAATGATCGTCTATTATTTTAGCATAAAATTTGGATCATCATGCAAATCATGTGGATAGCATTTTGAACCTCCCCACATAATTCTGTTGCAACTATTCTTTTCATTCAGGAACCAGATGCGAATGTAAAAACCACACAAAGTGCCACAAAAAATGGTAAGCACAGTATCAGTTGATTACAAATCCCCCACGAATTACTTCCTAGATGTAGTTCCGTTTTCCCAATTGCTGGACGAGATGTCACAGCACAACAAACTACTGCTGGAGCAGTTATCCGGAAACACCAGACGCATCTGTGAATTGGTAATTACTTGTCTTTGGGCGATAAAAATGCCTACTTCAAGACCCGTACTTTTTTATTTTATTTTAAGGAAAATATAATGGAACGTTGTGTTTCCCATCATTTGAAATAACTATAAGTGCAGTTTTGTTTGCCATCTGGCACTTATTCATGTCGCGTTAATCAGAAGGAGCATCAAAATGATGTCTAACAAGGAATCAGGTTAGTTTAAACTCACTGAATAAGCGGCTAGAGACGAGCAGCGGCAGTGTATGAGAACGTGATGGGTTTTCGCCTGGCAAGCTTGTTTTGTAACCCATCGTGTCCAAATGAAAAAGCTTTTCATTTTATTTGTTAAACACATGTATTCATATACAGTCTAGACGGGTGGTACTCGGATAGGAAAGCAGATCTCTGTTGATTTCCGCGTGTTGAGTTTGGAATTGGACTGGCCGTCTTCTTTGTCTCACATTATAGTTATTGACTTATCCGATTGCACTCGTTTCTTATTATGTTATACTTACTAGTTCGTTTGACTATACTCGTTTGACAGTAGTAAAACGAGATCTTCAATTTTGCAGTCTGACATAATGGTTTTTCGTCGATCTGTCGGGTAACATTCAATTGTTTTATGAACACCAATCGGCTTAGTGACCCAAGCCGATGAATTGTCTAGGTCAATATCCTCATGGACCATCCTCCCTATAACACGCCAGAATAGTTTTATGATCTCACTGTAACGTGGCAAATGTGACCCGTCATTAATAAGGCCATTGCCGCATGTCCTGTTCAATCTACTCGCTCATTCTTTCCAGACAGGGCAAGTAACCTAAGTTACTAGTTGTTGTGCTCGATCTAGACGTACGAATGACACGAGCGACTCTTGCTAAAACACCCAACAGTAATGCAGCTTTCTGGTAGACGTTGACTGAGGCTTCGTGAGAGCATGAACATTGGATGAGGCTGTAGCCGGGCCTTGTTGCTCAACGATGGCTGAATCATGCTTGAGGGGCTCGAGCTGCTGGCATTCGTTTGTCAATGTCCGAAAATTGCTCTTAGGGTCTTGTTGGATGCGATTGAATAACCGAGTGCGAATTTCTGCATCGCGGGAAGACTGAAGGGCGCACACGAATATCAGACATTTGAACTGGTCGTCAGTCATTGAGCGCAACTTGAATTTCTCGCACTACCGGTTCACAATGCTGGCGAGTGTCAGATAGTCATTTGCATCGTTTTTCGCCAAGTTGAGGCAGTGATACCGGATACTGAATAGAGACGCCTTTTCATCAAACGTGTCTGAAAGTTGTTGAACTGTTTCTTCGGAAGTAAAATTACGTGAACTTTTGGGTAGAATTATATCGGTGTAACGGTCATGTTCTTTGGTTCCCAGTTCCCAGAGCGATAATCATACTTTCCATCCATCATCGGCGTCCGCGAATTCGACCAGGAATACATCTTTCTAACGTTTGAACCAGGAATCTAATGTTGTTTCTGCATTGGGGTCGTACACGAATTCGGTGATGCTTGCGGCAACAGCATCACTAGATGTGGAGTGTTTAACCGGTTTTATTGGATTGGGACGTTTGTGGAGATGTTGTAACAAGGTCTCCATCTTCCTTAGGTGCGCGGCCTCAAATTATGCCTGCTGTTGTTTGAAAATTGCTTGTAGCTGCTCCTGGTTGATCGAAATGGTGGATCCGTGAATTTGCCCGTCAACAGTTGCTGTGTTCAGTCTAGACACGAGCGACTTTTGCTCAACCCCCAACAATAACGCGAAGACAGAACGCAGCTGCAGACAAAAGTCAGCGTGTATTCCTTGATCAGATTTCGATACGCATATATATATATATATATATATATATATATGCGTATCGAA